TTGAAGTTGCATCGACATTAAATACGAAACGAATGTACAAGCGTATAGAACCTTCAAATGACTGTAAATGTATGGTAAATGGACCGAGTTCACCACCCGAGACCCAACAACACACCTCGGTGGTGAACTCTAACAGCAGAAAAAATTCTTTCTACAAGAATACAGGTAGAAGTTTTTTGAGACTCAGGCTGACTGTTAAATTTGTAACAGTGTTCGCGTGTCCTATCCATGGACAGTCGGTTTATTTGTCTACAAATTATAGGTAAGTTGAGAGAGACCAAACCAGATCCCACCAACGGAGACAACGTAAGTGACTTGTGCCCCTTTAATGTTAAGACGGCAGGAGAGATACAGTACTACTCCAAAGTCCATTTCGTACCACCTACATAATGTCACCCCCGTTTTTCATAAATCAGTCGGTGGTTAACACGTTCAAGAGGGTGAATTTTTCTACTCTCTCCGGAACATTACAAAGTAAGGATCCATATGGAGTTGATACTCTCCTGTTTAAATCCTTCTTTTTTTAGGTCTTTAAGTGTAACAGACTAAAAATTTCTTAAACAAGCGTTTAAGTACCACCTTTATTCATAACCAGTTAATGTTTTTCAAGGAGAGTTATGAAACAATATATGGGAAACAAACCGTTACTGTTTCCAGTTGCAAAAGGACATTCAGAAGTGTTCCAAAAGGTGTGACAACGACCATAAAACCGGGTAAGGAGGTACGTCTTAGAGGAGATCACTCGTCACTACAAACCCGACAGCGACCCGTTGTGGCCTTAAAGTTGAGCGGAGGTTTCTAAACCAACTCCATAATGGAATCCTACTTTTTAATGCTTCCCGGAGAGAGTAGAAAAAATTCACCCTCTTTTGAACGTGTTAAACACCGACTGATTTATGAAAAAACGGGGTGACATATACTAACTGAGTTATTATATTATGTACTGAAACTCTCATCCCCGTTAAGATCCGTATAATTGTGTAATTAATTTTTGTATGAATAGTGCCGCTGCAACATGACTCTAATAATAATAATAAAAAAAAAAAAGTATTAAATAAAAAAAAATAATAAAATAAAAACGAATCCCCCGGGGATCACCGACGCCACCGGGATTCGCCGGCGAATACAGCGATTTACCCAGGCCCGGCCGAGACGGACGTCTTGGACTTACAGGTGCTCGTATCGTCTCCGTTACACTCCTACGCACACACACTACACACACAGGACACTAATCGCACACACAGTCAGGCACACACACAAAGGTACACTCAGGCACATAAACACGCACAAGGTTTGTAGAGATTTTCTCTACATAGGAAAATACTGAACTTACATAGTAGACAAACAAAAGTCCTAATACACTGCATATGGTTGTGTTTGGTATATTCGGAATGGATACTTGTCGGTATGGTTGTCCGCGTAATCTTTTAAGGAAAAGGCCCTGCGAAATACAAAAACTTAACTTTTTACGAGGTCCCTAATGGTTAGATCTTAACATTTCCTGTCTATATGATGAAATGTACTATAATATGCTCACGGTTAACGTAAAATTCTCTACCTGTGTAGATACAAAATATTGCACATGCTCCGTAGCGTGGTACTCAGGTGAAAACTCCGATTAAGTTCACGATTGTAGAGTACAGTCTATTATTCGATGATCTGACTTTCTCCCTTCATAATTTCGTACTTGTATTCGTTACAACCTCGTTTATTACACCACGAACTGACTCATAAATACGAAAGTTCGATATAAATCATTAAGATGGTGGATGTAACGCTGTATAATTGTGAGCGGTCAATCTTTACTGGAAAGATGTATAGTTTGAGTCATAGACCGTCGTATAAAAGACGTGGCAATGTGATTAGGATGACATAAACTATAAAATTACTATTTTCTCTCACGACGTGCCCGTTCTTGTTCATGTTCTAGGTGTCGCGGATTGTCACAGTATACTATACCCAACGTAGAAATCCGTGTATATATATGAGATATATCTGTATACATATATCTATAAGTCGTAAAGTGTGTCGCAAACTAACACGGGAACTTATTTCCGATAATTAGTTAAGTCAAAGTGACCGTAACAGAAAACGTCATGTTAGACAGGGAACTAACCTCCCAAACGGACGTCGGGTAAAGCAAAAAGATGATAAATCTCTACGTTGCATCTCTTTTAATTTAGTCTAAGTCTTTTTAAGCTTTTATTTCCGTGTGTCCCGACATTCCTGCAATCGTCATGAGACATGACTCGGCGAAAACCACGTTATTAATTACATATCTTTTAACCAGTCGGTGTAAAAATAAGGGGAATAACAAAAATGACTTCGCCACCTTCAGCCGTCGAACTTCAGTAACCCCCTCGTCGGCGTGGTCAGTTGCTACCGAACATGACGTGAATGCGGGTCAAACGCAGGTCAACCACTACGCGTCAACAATAGTGGTACGAGAGTGTCACCCGCGACAAGAGTCGTGACACACCTTTCTTGCTGACCACCCCCTCTGCACCCTTCTCCTCTCCCGTCTCCTTTCTTTCTGTTATAATCTTTCATCGTGTGCTAAAAAAAGCTCTCCTGTATCTCATCGCGCTGAATGCGATAAAAGGTTAAGAGGAGCATATGCGAACCTTTCAGTCGGAAGTACAATACGAAAATAAAGACGGATACTCAAAGGGATGTGTAGATTATGTCAGTTACTATTCTTTTTCACATAAGACAAGATATGCACTGTTTCCCCTTCTCGTTTCGGGACACTCAACTTCCAATGTCTTTGTGAACTTACACATTTTCAACCACACACATTTTCACCCACTCACATCTACACACATGGAGCG